TATTATCGTTCTTGTCTTTGTCTTTTTTTTCTTGTTTTTTCCTGTCTTTTGTGATTATACATAACATAAAAACTGCTTTTAAAGATTAAGTAGTTATTATTATTATTATCCGAATAATAAAATATGAATAATTGATTAATATAACAATGAAAAAATATATAACAAATAGACCATTTCGAGTAATAAAACGACCTTTCCAAAGATATCCTCCAACGACCTTCATTGTATGCATTAAAGAATTTTTAACAAGAAAGAAACAAATGTATACAAAAGTGCTTCGCAAATAATCCAAATTCTGCTCTTGTGTTCCATTCACAGTACTGTTTCGTTTTGCTCCATCATCCTGTCTATCATACGTACTTTTACTTTGACCCCCGTATTTAAACTCCACCTCAAGTTGTATTGCTTAGATATTTGATATGTCATGAAGTACTGTACTATGATGCTTTTCTCCAATATGCTAGTTTGAACACTGAAAATGGTGGATTTGGTTTAATGGTAAGTGATAGGAAAGTTCCGGAGTTTGTTGTTTTTTGTTGTTTTTTTTGTTGTTGTTGATGTTGTATTTTTGTAGTATATTTCTTCTTTGACTTTTTTTTCAGGAACAACACTGTAAAAAAAAGTAAAAACTTCACGTACAATCATAACCTACATAAACTTATCTTATAGTTAGAGTGGTCAAACATGTTAACATGAATTTTTTTTAATAATCCTATTTGCATATGTAAATTGTTTTGTGTGTACAACAGCACCCACTTCGGACAAAATGTAAACGTCCACCTGAAACTGGTGACAAAACATTCAATTTTTTTCTATGTATTTTAATGATCGTGCCAGTCCCTCTTTGACCCTTCAGTGATAACTGCCATTTTAATTATTTTAAATGTGTAGAAAAACAAAGTTTGTTTGTAATTAAGCACAAAAACTACATAATGGGCTATCTGTTCTCTGCCCACCACGGGTATCGAAACCCGGTTTCTAGCGTTGTAAATCCGCAGACATACTGGGGGGCGAAAAACAAAGAAAATAAATATTTGTTAATTTTACGTGACAACTCTTTTTAATACTAACTAACCTGCATCATTGGCAAACTTCGTGTTCCACTTTCGTTGCACGAGGTAAGTTGCCGGATCAGATGCTTCGTCCTCGTCATCAAACGGATCATAGACGTTATCGGCGACGTGATTAATGGCGGCTAGAAGCTCTAAACCGTCTAGTCTATTATCTTTGTCCAAATCGTGTAGTCTATAAAGGATTGCACGAAACAAAAAGTATTAGTAAACGCCTTGGAAATATTTGCAATATTATTAAAGCCATCATGATCATTTTAACTACCCTCAGAGGCTCAGCGGTAAGCTTGAGGGTTTATAACGATGAAATCGTGGTTCGATACCCACAGTGTGCATAACTCAGATACATCATTGTGTAGTTTTGCTCTTAACAACAATCAAACAAATCATTTTAACTTGGGACATTTAGAATAAAAACCTACATATATATGTGTAAAATAAAACGTAGAAATGCTTTAAATATTTAACTTCCCAAATTTTAATAACATTAATTTATAATTCAATATATTAATCATAAATAATGAAGACAAATATTAGAGTAACATATAATATTTTGCATTTGTGACAAAGCTATTAAGGCTACCTGCCGCCGTCCCTAATGTTGAACTATCGGTCAGAAGGAAGCAAGGTAGTTAGCAAAGATTAATAAATCACAATTAAAAAATTATTACTGTTGGTATATTTGTTCAGTTTCACGCAAAGCTACTCGAGGTGATCGACCAAAAGAAGGCAGTTAATCACCACCAACTATCGCTACCTCTATGGGCATTCTTTACCAATGAACAGTGGGATTAACCGTTACATAATAACGCACCATGGCTGAAAGAGCGAACATATTTGATGACGGGTTTCGATCCCGTGACCCGTAAATTGCAAATCGAGTGCCCTAACCACCAGGCCAACAAAAAATAATAAACTATACAGTTTTAATAAAATTTTCTTAGTACGTATTTATATAAAAACATTATTTTTTTTCCAAGTTAAAAAATGTTTGAAGCTATTCGTTCAGAAGCGAAATGTGAATTGATCATTTCTTAAATATACTAAGCTGTGTTAATCAGAAAGTTGAAATTGGTCATAACATTTGTCAGTTCTCAACCATAAACCAAATATCTGAGTGTTAGTTTTTATTTACCTAGTGTCTGTAATTAAAATAACATCTGTTAATAATTTGTCATTTACTTGCTTTTCGTGCTCGTTTAGCAGAAGGCTTGTTTACCGTTTTTAGTACCAATCCTATAATTTGTCCATAACGAACAGTTCCCGGTGGATCAGTGGTAAATGTTCGGATTCGACTCCCCGTGGTGTCGATTTAGTCCGTTGAATAGCTTTGCGCTAAAAATCCAACAACAATAACCATCAGGAGTATTAGGTTGCCACAAGCACTAAAAGGGATCGTAAACTGTTAATTCAACAAACCTTATTATAGATAGATTAACCGCATTTTCGCAATTGAGAACCTATGTATTTCACATGTTTTGCTGGCCCGGCATGACCAGGTGGTTAGGGCGCTCGACTCGCAATCTGAGGGTCGCGGGCTCGAATCCCCGTCACACC